GGGCACAGGGGGTGACTCTTGGGGCTGGGCCTGTGCAGGGCCAGGGGTTGGACTGGACGATCCTTGTGGGTCCCTTCCAACTCAGCATGTCCTGTGTTATTCTGTGATAACTTGAACAGATTAATTGCAGTGTTTAGAAATTCCATGAATTTCAGCCTGTCCTTACAAGTCAAACAAACTGTCAGATAGACAGTTTAATTGCCTACGAAGTGTCTGACATTCGACCATAAGGTGTTTTTCACAGGAGGTCCATGACATGGAGTATCCTTTGATTCATTACTATTTACAAGGGCATGTAGTGACAGGACGAGGGGGGGATGGCTTCAGACTGACGGAGAACAAGTTTAGATTAGATATTAAGAAAAAATTCTTCCCTGTGAGGGTGCTGAGGCCCTGGCACAGATTGCTTAGAGAAGCTGTGGCTGCCCCATTCCTGGAGGTGTCCAAGGCCAGGTTGGACGGGGCTTGGAGCAACCTGGGCTGGTGGAAGGTGTCCCTGCCCATGGAAGGGGGTGGAACAAGATGATCTTTAAGGTCCCTTCCAACCCAAACCATCCTGTGACTCTATGATTCCATGATTATATGTTCAGCCCCAGCTTCCCTATGTCCCTTTGAACATCAGGTGGTTGCTCACTAATTCTCTTACCTCTCTGCCTGGTCTGTCCCTTTCCCCTTCTATCTCCTCAAGAGTATAAACATACTCTTGGCCAAGTTATGGCTCAGAGCAGGCTCCTGAAGGAAAGTGAACATCCCAGGAAGGGAAACATGCATCTCTGATGCTTGGAAAATCCATGCTGCAGTCAGTGCTGCAGTACTTGTGCCATTCAAACCATGGGTGTGTGGCAGTGAATCTGATGAGAAACTTGTTTAAACATGTTTTAAAATGGCTCTTTGTGGTCCCTTTGCAAACACGTGTTTCTTCTTCCCAATACCCCCCACAGCAACTGTTATCTCCCATGCAGGAGTGTCCTGGGAAGATGTCCCGAGGCGTCCCATTGGTCCTTTGTTTAACCCCTTCCTATTGGCTGTTGACCCTTTACCTGATGGTTTCTTTTGTGTGACCCTGAACTTGTGATTGGTTCCCCTTTGACCCTCCTAAAAGCCTTATAAACCCCTTCCCAACAATAAACTCTCTCTTGCCTCCTCTCCACGCCCGGTGTGCTGTCTCTGTGCCTGCCATGGAGCCACGTGGGTGCTGGGGGGAGGGGAGGGCACCTCTCCCCTCCAGGCTCGGGGCCTGAAAAACCCTGTTTCTGGAGTTCCCCTTCCCCGTCCCACAAGACGTCGGAAATGGTTCTTCAGACGGAGAGGGAACTAGAGCTGGGATCCCCCACGTCGTGGATGGGGAGAGGGAAACCCATATGGGTGTCAGTCAAGCATCACAGCCCTGGGTCACCAAGGACCAACCAATGCTGCCCACAGAAAACCTGCTCTGGGTCCTGCTGGGATCACAGAGTCACAGAATCCCATAATATGCTGCTCCTGCTCTGGTCACCCCTGCTCCCTCCTCGTCTCCCTCCTTTCTCAGCCCAGGCATTGCAAGACTGGTCTATGTTACACCTCTCCTGGCTAGGACCTGTCTCGAAGCTCTTCTGTGTTTCACAACAGCTGAGAGCCAGAGGCTGAGCAAAGGCAAAGTCCTTCATGGATGGTTTGGACTGGAAGGGACCTTAAAACTCATCTTACTCCACCCCCTGCCATGGGCAGGGACACCTTCCACTGGAGCGGGTTGCTCAGGACCCCATCCAACCTGGCAGGGGTGTGGCTACTGTTCCTGGACTGCTCCCCTGCTTCTGAGGAGGCCAATTGGGGAAGACAAAGCCCAGCCCCTGCCTGAGGGCTCCCAGCTCAGCTCTGTGCCCTGCAGAGGGGCCTGGCTGTGCAGCACAGGAATACCTTTCACTTTCCCATTTGCATCCCTTGGGAAAGCAGTTCAGGGGCTTCAGTGGCCTGGCAGCCTACATCCTCATTTTTCATCAGGGTTAATTAGTTGCAGATCCTCTGGCCTTTCCAGGAGCCTTGGCACCCTGCTGACATGAACTGCATGTCAAACTGGCTGTCCCTGGAATAAAATGAGCCATGGTATCTAAACATCAACAAGGACAAGGAGGGTTCCCCGTGCCTGATTTCTCTCCACATCAAAGCATGTCCTTGTCAGGAGATGCTCAGGGATGGTCCTCAGGTTTCCCTACTCTTGGCCATGCATTGAAACCTGCTTGGGACTTGCAACCTTGGAGCATCCTGGTTTGGAAAGTCACAGAATCACAGACTCGTGAAGGTTGGAAAAGACCTTCAAGACCATCTAGTCCAACCATCAACCAGCACCATCATAATCACCCCCAAACCATGTCCCCAGGTGGCCCCAAGTCTTCCACTTTCTCATCTGTGTGTGGTTCAAATTCCGAGTGAGTCTGCAAGGACAAGCTCCTTGGCAGCCCTGTCCCACCACAGTGCCAGCAACACCTTTGGCCCTGCTGGTTCTGCCACTTCCCATGGAGGGGAATGAGACAGGTTGGGATCTGACAGGACACAGCAGATCTCACAGAGTGAGATCTCACAGAGTGAGATCTCACAGAGTGAGATCTGACAGCAAAAATGTGGCTGCACTGGGACAGATTGGAGAAGCTGCTTCTGCTGCTCTTACCCAAGAGCTTCTTAAACTCCTGTGGTCCAGACAATGCCTTATTCTGCTCTAACAATTGACATCTGTGTAGGAACAGGAGCCTGATGACTCAGAAAACATCCTCTCACACGGGTCACAAGACAATCAAAGCGATGGGAGCGATATGGGGAGAAGGTGCTGAGCCTGGGAGGAGGGCTGGGCATTCCCAGCCCTGCTCCTCTGAGGGTGGGCTGCCATCAGCCCTGTTGGGAGGCAGATCTGCACTGTTGTCTGGAGCACAGGGGGAAACTCCAGGGAATATGTTGATAGAGGTGGGAGCTCATGGTTAGGATGCTTTGTGAGGGGGTCAGGAGGAAAACAGCTCTCTCGTGCCTACAGAAGCAATTAGAGCAGAGGCTGCACTCACTCCACTGAACACCAGTTACTGCTCATCAAATCCAGCCCGGCGGCTCTCGGGAGTGATTGCCCGTGGGAATTCAGAGCACGTCCGAGCACTTGGCTCATTCCACGTGCTGGCACCAGCCAGGGGCTCAGAGCATCTGCCTTGGCAGAGACTCCCCATGCCCAGCCAGGCTTCTCCTTTTGGGATGTCCACAGCTCTGAGATCCTGGGGTCTACCCCAAAAGCCTCGTTTCAATAGAAGGGAGAAAGGTTGCCTTTGATGTGGATTTTGGTGGGATCACAGGCAGGCATGGAGGGAGCATGTGGCTGTGTGTGCCTGGATTCAGGCCCCCATGTGACTGTGAGATCACACTGGTCACAGATGTGTGGCTGGTCCAGATCAGCAGTGATCACATTGAGGGGTGTGAAGCCTGACAAGGAGAGGGGCAGTTAAGCAGCTGATTGCAGATTTGGCTGTGAAACTGGGCAATGGGGATGCTGAACTTAGTGAGACTAATTGACTGGATTGATTAGAAACAGGGAGTAGTGCAGCTAAGAGGTCTGTAGCACTGCCCCACAGTGTCCAGCCAGCATGAGAACAGCTGTGCCAGTGGCAGGGTTTGGGGCCTGTGCAGTGTGTGAGTGCTGAGGAGTCACATCCTGCACGCGGCGCAGAGCAGGGCAAGGGAAGCTGTTGTGCAACAGGTCAGAACTCACGGGTTTTGTCCTCCTAACCACAGGTCACCTGGGCTCTCTGGGTTGTACCTGGAGCTGGCAACCCTGTAACTGCACTGAGTTTGCAGGGGATGAGGATCTGGCAGATGAGATGCAGAGCCTGGGGCACTGGCCAAAAGCAGGAGATCTGGGTTTGCCACTGAGGGACTTAGGATCCCATAAAACCCTCCGGTTCTCTATGTTGACCCATCCCTTCTGGCTCTGTGCTCCCTGGGAGTGAGTCTCTTTCCTCAAGTCCATATTTATAATCCCACACATCAGTCACAGTGCTGACGTGCACAGGGTCAGAGCGCCCATGGGCTCACAGCCTGTGGAAATGAGTACACAGTCCCAAGAAGCTTTACTGGCAAACCAACAAACCTGATCCCCTGTTCCAGCTCCCCAGCATGGACTTGTCCTGGTTCACCACTTAGGAGAGGCCCACCCCTCAGTGGGTGACCTCCCATGCCATGGCTGGAGAGAGGAATTGAGAAGGCTTCTGGAAGTCTCCAGAAGTCCCCTGGCAGCCATGGTGTGGTGTCAAACCAGGCTGGAGACCCTGGATGTTGCTGACTGCTGCCACAGCCCTTTCTGTGAGAAGTGATGTGTTGCTGGAAGCACATAGCACACATGGAAGGTGACTAACCTCCAAAAAAATCCCTCAGAGGAGCTGACTGGACAACTACCTAGGGGATGTAATTTAGTCAGATGCAAGACTTTGGTCTTTAGGCAGTGTCCTGATGGGATTATCTGCCTCGTGCCACACAGGAGCTCAGGCCAGATGATTGACTGCTCCTTCTGCCTTTGCCATCCATGAATCAATCACAGGTGCAGTTGAAGTATTTTTGCAGAGGATGTGTGACAGTGGTTCCATAGCAAAAGAATAGCTCAAAGCAACTTCGGAAAAATGCTGTATGTTATCAAAAGCAAGAAAGTTTTGAAATAAAAGATGACTCAAACCCTGGGCCATGTGTCAGTGCTCAACATCCTCACCCATTTGCAGCAAGCACCATGGTGGCAGGTGATCCTTGTAAGGCAGTTTCTCCAGAGCACCATGTCAGGCTCCTTCATCTTGCTCATCTGACTTGCTTGTCAGTCCCTGAATCCCACAATGGCTCAGAGCTTCATCCGCTGGCTGGAAGTGACTCACAGGCCTTTGGAAGCCCCAGCATGTGCTGCTACCTGTGACATCAACTGCACCATCCCAACGAGCCCCCCTGCTGCTCCTCCAAGTCATGGTTATAATTAGTCCCAGTGAAACAGCCCCAGCAGAGCTGCTGGCGCAACACATGGAGCATGGAAAATGGTCAGGAGCCTTTGCTGCCACATGCTTTCCTAGCAGGAAGGCTCTGTGGAAAAAGCACAGCTCGTAAGAAGCTTTAAAACTCTTTGCCTGTGGACTTCCCAACTTCTCATGGGCTTTACTTCCCAGTGACAGCAGGGTGGAAGAGCTGGTGAGTGCTTACGTGTATCAATGGGCTTTGCAAAAAGGGGAAATTAAACCTTAAATTTAAAGGACCATTTGCAAACGCTTTCTTTTAGTGGGAAACAGATCTCTTCCTGCATCACCAAGTCGTGTTACACCTGATGCTCCCAGTGCCTCCTGCGCAGCTTTTGGATGAATCAATCTGGGCCATGTGAAATGGAACTAAAATATACCCAGGATATGTCTCCCAGGGGATGGAGCTTTCCTCCAAGTGTGTGTTTCTGAAGGAGCTGCCTGTTTTCCTGCACTGGGGACCTGAGCATGAGCCCAGAGGTCCCCAGGAACGGGGTGATCACAGGCATGATATTCCCTCCTTACCCCATCTCTCCAAAATGCCATCACAGCCCCTCAGGGTCCTAGTGCACCCTGGTGGGCTCCAAATCCCTGTTACCACCAGGAATGTGCTCCCTTCTCCCAGACAGCTTTGGTTTCTTCTCTGCTCTCTGCAAGTGTTCCCTAAGGATATATAACTGAGTTTTATAATGAAGCACCTCTCACCCAGCACATATTAAATAAATTTCAGTTGCCCTTTATTACACAATAATGATAGTAAGATTTAATTACCTCTGCACCCAACGGAGACATGAATTTTAACTGATATGACTAAATCTTCCCAGTGGTGTAATTGGTGGTGTCTGCAATTGTGGGTCAATTCCAGTGCATCAGTGGGTGGTGACAGAAAAATCCTTCCTGAGGAGCGTGGATCCCAAACTGAGACTGTGGGTGGATTAAGAGACTGAGACAGGTAAGGAGCAGCTGATCCAAGGAAGCCAATTAAACAGTGATGCTTAGTGGAGTTTCTGATCCATGACAGAGGCTAAAGATGCATGAAAATGTGAGAAAATCCAGGAGCTCTTGGAGATCAACAGGGCGAGTCTCTGTGGGCTCTGCCCTAGGACTGTGCTGCTCTCCTCACACCTACCATCATTTCCCACAAGTTCAAATAATACTTTTTTCAGGGTAAAGAAAACAAGAGAAAAGGCATTCTGTGAGTGACTCTGTTTGCAGGGCTCTCTGACACGTCTGTTTTGATTCGTGCTGAAAACTGTGTCACCCAGATACACCACAGGCACCGACAGCTCATGCTGTGCTTTTTACAGTGCAAAGAGAAATGAGATCTCCAGGAGCAGAGGAACTGGGGAGAGCTGGGGACAGCAGGGCTGGGGTTAATAACCCTCATCCAAGCCCTTCTCCAGCAGCCATGGTCCTGCTCTGGGTGTTGCTTCAGCTAAAGCGGCATTAAGGGCTGGGGCAGTGTGTGGGACACTGCACTGGAGAGCAGAAGGTCACAAATCACTGGGCTCAGTTTAAGCATTTCCTTCCCCCCCCCCCCTCAGTTTTGCAGGTACTGGTGTAACAAAGAACCAGTCTAAGGTTCATTCCAAACCCTTCAGACACCTCTGGGTTTGTCCTGCTCATCACAATACGATGCAAACAGGTCCACTTCAGCTTCTCCATTATTTCCATTTCTCCTGCCCCTTTTCTTTCGCCTTCAGCTTTGCCAAGTGTCCTGGGCTGACAAGAGCCTTGAGCTCTGCAAGGCTCCCGGGGACCTGAGGCCCTGCAGCCCCTCGGGGCTCCTGTCCCAGCCTTCATCCTCCAACGTGTCTGTGTGTCAGCGCTCTCAGGTCACGCTTGGTTGCTGTTCCTCAGCAGACTCCCACTCCAGGTCCTCCAAGGATTTCCCAGAAGTTAAAAACATCGTATTGTATCAGTAAACAAAAGGACAAGGCTGAGAGAAGAAGGTTGACAGGCTTGGGTAGTGTTTTCCCTTGCACACTCCATGTGATGGGAATGCTGGGCTGGACTCTCACAGGCTGCTGGGTCTCTGGCCTGGAGACAAGCCTGGCCTGTGGCTTTTTCTGCACATGAAACCTTTCATCTGAGCTACCCAAAAGGAGTCTGTGAGCCCATTTCAAACCTGAGCTTTCCAACGTGTGATTCATGCCATTTCATGCCAAAATTCACATCTTCATTTTCCAGTCACTGTTCCTGGAATGAATGAATTGTCCCTCCTGTTTTCTCCCCCAGGTCTTTCGCTACTTTCAAAACTGAATGATAAAGAATTAGCCCGTCTGGCAACTGAGGCTTGAAAGTGCTGACAAAGACACCACGTAATCACATGTTGCTGTTTATCTCCTTCTCTATTTTAAGATGCAGAATAAATTCTGATGCCAAATCATGGCCATAATGTCCTTCCAGTAGTGCACTGACACCCATCACCCCTCTGTGACATCCCTGGGCGACCTTTGTGGCAGGAACCACGGTGGAGGGGGCGGGCAGATGGAATTACATCCTGCTCCGTTTATGAGACATTGATTTATGCTGGGGTCCAAGCAGGGCAGTGCTGGGGTGTGCAGAGGGTATCTGCAGAATGACCTGGTGTTTCAGTACATGGCTTTCAAGACCTATTTTTTGGGCAGCAGTGGGAAATGTCTGCACGTTGCAGGCAGAACTGACCTGCCAAGACCAGTTGCCACATCAAATATTCCCAGTGCATGTCCAGCCCAGATCTACTCCTGTGGGTCAGCACAGCCTGGACACACTGACCACAGACCAGCTGCTGCTTCTGTTCCTGGAGGCATCAGCATTCTCTGGTCACTACATTTGACTCCACATGTTCTAATTCCTGAATCCCTCACTGCTCATTCCTCTTGCCACTCCACAGAGCATGTGTGGCTAAAAACCCCTGATGTATTAAAACAAGGGCAGTGCCCCATAATTTCCTCTCCTTGCAATTGCTGGGTAATTACACCTGAACTTCTGAAGCAATTCCAAAGTTAACGAGATAGCAGCCACCCCACAGATTTTAATAACAACTCTTTAGGCTGAGGAAGAGCTTGTTCCTGGCTAATTACTGTAGGACTGATTAGATGGGTACTGGTGGTCATCTGGCTAATGATGGGGTCAGCTCTGCTGCACGATGAGCTGCCTCCAGGCAGCATTTCTCCACAGGTTCCCCATGGTCTGCTCATTCCTTGCCTGTCCCACCCTGCGCAGTTCTTGCTGTGAGCAAGGACAAGTAGAAATCTGGCTGTGGGAGTACAAAGCAGATATGTCTAACAGCACCCACAGGCTCTTGGGGTCCAAATTTTCTTCAAAGCAAGCATGGCCCAGTTGCTGAAGTCGCTGCAACACAGCCAAGCCCATGGAGAGGACTCCCCTGTGGCAGCAGGACCCGGGGCACTGGGGACAGCCATGACCCTGCCCTCTCTCCTGCAGCAGTAACACTTGTGGCTGTTGGTCTGCAGTGTTACAGGGGTTAAGTTTTCTAGATGTTCTTGGCATGATTTGCTGATTCCTGACAGGGAGTTCCACCCTCAACGCACAAACTGCACCACTGGAGACCTTCAGCTGGTCCTTTATCTCCCCATGTGAGGCAGGCACAGGATGAGGATGTTCTGGAAGAATCACCAAGCAGGAGACTGGATGAGGAAAAGAAGGGAGGAAGGTCATGGCTAGGCTTCGCGAACAAAGATTTGGGAAGGCTCTATCCACATTTGCTACAGGCACGCTGGTGGCTAATGAGGCCAATACGAGACAGACATATCCGATTGCAAAAGGCACAGCAGAAAGACTCCTTAGATGGTGTATTCTGCAATATACGGTTCTTTCTGCGTTGTCTTTTCTCTTCGAGGGTGATCCTGCGTGTGTTCTCAAAGGAGACAGCTGCGTTGTAGATGGTGTGTCTCCAGGCCTCCCGATTGGAGGCCAGAGTAGACCAGTTGTGGTGATCAATATGGCCAAGGCTGAGATGTTGTTTCAGGGAGTCCTTGCATCTTTTCTTCGGGGCTCCTCTCTTGCGGCAGCCGGTGGCAAGTTCACCGTAAAGCAAGATCTTAGGGAGGGGGTGGTTGGTCCTTCATCCTGGAGACGTGCCCTGCCCAGCACAGCTGTGTTCTCAGCAACATGGCTTCTATACTTGTGACTGCTGCCTGTTCTAGAACAGATGTGTTGGTCACATAGTCTGACCAGTGGATGTTTAGGATTGTGCGGAGGCAGCGTTGATGGAACCGTTCTAAAGGAGGAAGGTAGGAAACCATAGATGAACAGAGCAGAATCCTCTGAGCCCTGCAGTATGCAGGGGGCTGCAGAAGAAGGCTGTGGAGAATGAGCCTGCAAGCCAGGGAGACGCTTATTTTAGGGGATGCAGCATCACAGAGGAAATGCCTGTATTTCCCCTCACATCAGGAGGAACTGATGTGTCCTTCCAGGCTCCTTTGCAAAGGTCCTGGCTGTCCTTTAAAGAGCCAAGATCCCAAGTACAGCAACATGAAGATCAGACCAGGAGAATCACGGGGAGTTCAGGAACCCACTGCCCTCAGTGCCAGCAAAAAGTGGAGAGAATCTGGGGGCTAAAAAGCTCTTTATAGATCTAGTAAGGATATTTTATAGTTTTTTATGTTCAAGGCTGTCCTTGGTGAAATAATTTCTAGCTGAAAATGCCATTGACTCCTCTGGCAGCTGCATTTCCTCCAGCAAGGAGGCAAGGTGAGCAACAGGAGTTTTTCCAGGGCTCTGTAGCATTTCCTCCAGCCACTGCTCCTCCAAGACAGCCACTCCAACTGTGATCCCTGGTGTCTGCTTTGGGCTGGGAACAGGCATTTTGATGTCTGGCTGCAGTAGGAGAATACAGACCCTTTTATTTACCAGTAGGAAATTTGTCTTCTGTTTATCTTGTAGGAAATGACAGGCCTGACTCGCTTAGGGCTGAGGAGGGTCTGTGCTCACCCTGGCTCTGCAGGGGCCACCCAGATGAATTGTTTGTTCCTTGTGCCCAGACATGCTGTGAAAAGATGGTATCAGGGCTTGGTTCATTTGTAATATCAGCTTAGACTGGAGCCTCTTCAGCACAAGGGTTTCTGCAAGTTACTGAGACAGAGAGAGAATCAAGACTGAACTGGACAGAAGAAGGAAATGACGCAAAAAATTAATCCCCAGAGACTCCTTGGTTAGAGGCTTCTTAATCAGAAAGACTAAAACTGGTACAGATAGTGAAGGAAGTAAAGGGCTAAGGAAATACAGAGCCAAGAAGTGGCATCTCTGTCTCTTCCCCAGGGTGGAGATTTTTGGATTTTCTGGTGGGATAAGCCCACTCTTACGGGGGGTCAGTGGTTGTCCAAGCACTCCTGTCCTGCTCCCCAGCTCCCACGTGGCCACTGTGATTTTAAAGCTTGGCCAACCTGCCAGGGATATTTA